ACCATAATAACTCTGTCACTGGCTCATTGCAAGCCAATGTTCATTCTATAAAAAAAATACAAATTAAATTGCACTCACCTTAGTCTTGCATTGATTCGATCCTAATTCTTTGATTGTTCCCGAATTTGTTTAGGCTCATTATCTACATAAACATAATTCCCGAGATGAATTTCAGAAGCATAAACCTTATAATTCAATACTAATAACTTGAGCTAATTTAATGAACCCAAATATTCAATTTTCCTTTAAGGGTGTATCGATGCACTATAGGTGCATCGGTATACAGAATAGCTTCAAAATTCTCATGCATCGATGCACTCCTTAATGTATCGATGCATCCTCTAAATTTATCATAGTGCATCGGTACACACTCATAGTGTATCGATGCACATGCCCAGAAATCACTGTTCATACACGAAAATTCACTACTTATAACTTCAATTCTTCATGTTTCATTCCCTATCATATTCTTAATTCAAATATACATACTTAAACCAATTTCTACTCATTTATCACATCTCAAACCTCAAAATCCTATTCTCCATATAAAAATCAATAATCATACCCAATATTCAATATACTCTAAATTTAATTCTTTCACTTCATATTTCTTAATTAAGTTGATGACAAGTCAAATTTAGTTCCAAATTCAACTTATCAACTCTTTTCCAAAAATTCACTTAAAAACCCATTTCCTTTAATCTATCATAACTCTTTTATCTTTTGAGTTTAAGATAACTTAAGCTTTCCGTAAGCTTAGTTATCATCTAATGATCAAAACCCAAGCTTTAAATCAACAAATAATCAACAAATTCGAAAACTTACCTTTGCAAGCTTGGCTCTCTCTTTCTTTCAAATGATGAAGAAGAAGAAGATGAAGTGGAGAAAATATCCTCATCCTTATCCCCACATGCCTATATATATCATTTTATTATAATTTCCAAGTCAAATGACCATTTTGCCCTTTAATTCTTTTAATAATTACTAACAACTTTCAGGAAATATCTCTACATAAATCATAAAAGTATTCAACTATTCTACTTTAATCACCAAATTCTGAAATTTTATAATTTGGTCACTAATTTGTAGTTTGGGATGTTACAAGTTACAAGAGAATATAAAGAAAATGCAAGAAGATATGATGAATGCCCAGAAGGAGATGTTTGCCAAGTTTGCGAGTTTGTTAGAAGGAAGAAATCCGAAACATGGGAAAAGCCCTGTGCCAGGAGCTGTAACTGAGGACCCACTTTATCCTCCAGGGTTCACCCCAGAACAATCTCAGAATGTTCAAGAGACTCATGTTCATGTCGGGAAGGTGTACATTAATCCAGTCGGTGCTTCTGTTAACGCACAACCTGGATCTAATTCGTATAAGGAAGAACATCAATATCATCAAGTTCCGAACCTTGATGAAGAAGCCAATAAGGACCAAAACAATCCACTGGAAGAGAAATAGAAACAGTTAGAAAGAAAAGTCAGAGCCATGAAGAAAGATACCAGCGTCTATGGATTCGACGCAAAGGAATTAAGTCTAGTTCCTGATTTGGTTTTGCCTCCAAAGTTCAAGGTTCCTGACTTTGAGAAGTTTGATGGTACTAGGTGTCCCTCTGCGCATATCACGATGTTCTGTAGGAAGATGATCGGATACATAGGGGATTATCAATTATTGATACACTGCTTTCAGGAAAGCTTAACAGGTTTGGCAATCCGGTGGTATAACCAGCTGAGTAGAGCTAATATTAAATCGTGGAAAGACTTGGCTAAGTCCTTTCTTGAGCAGTATAAACATGTAAAAGATGTTAGGCCCAATAGGATGATGTTACAAGGAATGGAAAAGAAGTCTAACGAGAGTTTTAGACAATATGCTCAAAGATGGAGAGATGTAGCGGTGCAAGTCCATCCACCATTGGAAGATGAGGAAACAAATATGTTTTTTATCAATACCTTAAGGGGCTCCTTTTTTCTCGCATCTTATCGGTAATCCTTATCGAAGTTTTGCTGATGTAGTTACGGCGGGAGAAATGATTGAAATGGTGTTAAGAGTGGAAAGCTCGAGGGAAGGGAGTCTAGTAAGAGGTCGCCAACGAGGAAAAAGGAAAACAAAGTCAGTAACGTGAGGCAATATGATTCTAATAACATCATTGTTTCCCGTCCTCAAGGAGAAGGGTCATCAACACAAAATGACAATAAACAAGGGGAAAAGGACCAGAGAAGAGATAGGCCTCAATTTGACCCCATCCTGATGACTTATAAGGAATTGTTTCAGATTTTGTATGATCGACATGTGGTTTTATCGTATCATGTGACACTAATGCAACCTCATTTTCCCAAATGGTATGATGCTAGTGTTCAGTGTGAGTATCATGCAGGGAATCCCGGGCATTCCATTGAGAATTATACTGCGTTTAAGAAGGTTGTCCAAGCTTTGAGAACAAGGAATGTCATCAACTTTGGTGACAGTGAGCAGCCAAATATAGCTCAGAATCTGTTGCCAAGCCATGCAGGGGCAGGAGTTAACGCAATTACTAAAGAGAAAAGAAAGAGAATTGTAAGGAAGGTTTGTGAGGTGGTATCACCCATGAGTTGGGTGTGGTGTTAGATGGTTAAGGGTAGGATTGTTGAAGCCCAGTTTGATAGGTGAACAGTTTAACAGTGGAGAGGTGTGCCAGTATCATAACAGTGAAGGACACAATATTCAGCAATGTCATGACTTCCTATCTTTGGTACAAGACATGATGGACAGTAAAGAAATTGAGTTCTTTAAAGAGATTGCTGAAGAAGAGGAAGCGGAAGTTTGCGCTTCAGAAGGATCGTCTAAAGGGGTATACAATGCTAGTTGTCCCCTAATCATTACTCCCAAGAATCGATTAGCTGAAAAGGTAGCTCCGAAAGTGGTTATTACACCTCCATCTTCATTCCCATATCGGGATAATAAACAAGTGCCTTGGAGATATGATTGCCAGGTGGGAGATGTGACAAAAGAGAATGAGGAAGTAGATGAGGTGTGACACTTTACCAGAAGTGGTAGGTGTTATTCTCTTGATCCACCTAAAGAGTCTGAGAAGAAGGTTGCTGTTGATAAGAGGAAAAAGGTTGATGTGCAGATAAAAGATGATGAGCATATTATCAATGAACCTGTTATCGAGAGTGAAGTAGTGGAATTCTTGAAGTTTTTGAAGCACAGTGAGTACAATGTTGTTGAACAGTTACACAAGTTGCCTGTCCGTATTTCTGTTTTATCATTACTTTTGAGTTCAGAGGCCCATAGAAATGCTATGTTAAAGGTTTTGAACCAGACTTTTGTTCCAAAAGAGTTGCCCATTGAAAAGTTAGATCGCTTAGTTTCCAATATACAAGCTGATAATTTTTTATCTTTTTCTGATGATGAGATCCCTTCCGGGATGATTGGTAGTCAGAAGGCTTTGCACATCACATTTAACTGTAAAGCGCATGTGTTGTCTCGGGTTTTGGTTGATAATGGTTCAACTTTGAATGTGATGCCCTTAGTGACTCTGAAGAAGCTTCCATTAGATAGTATGCTTATGAGAACCTGTCAAAGTGTGGTTCGAGCTTTCGATGGGACTAAAAGAGAAGTGTTAGGCAAGATTGATGTTCCTCTGACTATTGGTCCAATAACTTATGAAGTGGAATTTTTCGTAATGGACATTATGCCTACGTACAACTGTTTGTTAGGAAGGCCTTGGATTCATCAGGTCGGTGCAATTCCGTCCACATTGCACCAGAGACTGAAATTTGTGATTGATGGAAGGTTGGTATGTATTCACGCTGAAGAGGACATTATTGCTTATGTTTCTACTACTGCTCTGTATATTGAAGTGGATGAGCAAGCGATCGAGTGTTCTTTTAGATCGTTAGAGTTTGTCAATGCCATGTTTGTGGTCGAAGGCAGGAAGATACCAAAGCCTAGATTGTCAAATTATACCAAAATAGGACTCAAGTTGACCTTGGGAAGAGGAGCAAAAGTTGGAAAAGGGTTAGGAAGTCAGTTACAAGGACCGGTGAATCCAATATGTCATGTCACTAAAAGAGATCGGTTTGGTTTGGGGGTATCAGCCAACTTCGAGGGATAAGATGAGGGGAATTAAGAAGGGTCAGGAAATGAGAAAGGCCAGATTGGCTAGTGAAGACCTTAGCTGGGAACCCATGACCTTCCCGCCGTTGAGCAGCATTTTCATATATGAGGGGCATATGTTTCAAGGGAATTTAAGGGGCAATGAAGTAATGGTTGAGAATGCCTTAGAAGATTTATGCATTAATGTTATAACTGATGGTGAATTTGAGTAAATGAGAGCTACGAGCATTTACCCTGCACCGCCGGGCTTCGTGTTGAACAATTGGACCGCGGAAGAACTGCCTGTAGTTTACAAATCTTTTACAGAGTAATGCACTGGAACTTTTTCCCTGTTGTTCATACCCTGGGGCAATAGGTGATTTTATGTAAAGGGTTAAGCTGTTTGTTTTTGCTCGCTTTCAATAAAAAGTGCATTATGTTAGTTCAAAATGGCAAACATTCTACCATGCATTTTTTCATTCTTTGTTGTATATATGTATGTATTTATTCCTTTCTATTTATTTATATGGGAAAATATCCTCCCATATGTATATATGTATATATATATATTCTCTTTCGTTTTTCTTTCAGGAACTCAGATATCAATAATATGAATGCTAATGACTCTGACCCGGATATTGATTTCGAGAAGCCTATATGTCAAGGGGAAATCGAGGATTGTGATGATAATGAGGGGTGTGAACTACCTTCTGAATTGCTGAAAATGGTGGAGAATGAAGATAAGCAGATTCTGCCTCATAAAGAGTCTACTGAGATTTTGAATTTGGGGACAAATGAGGATAAGAGAGAAGTAAATATTAGTACTACTCTGTCAGTTGGAGGTCGACAAGATTTGATAGAATTGCTTCGAGAATACAAGGATGTGTTTGCTTGGTCATATGAATATATGCCAGGTTTAGATACAGAGTTGGTTTTCCATAAACTACCAATAAAGCCTAAGTGTAAGCCGGTAAAACAAAAACTGAGAAGAATGAGACATGATATGCTGCTCAAGATTAAAGAAGAAGTGAAGAAACAATTTGATGTCGGGTTTCTTAAAGTGGCTAAATATCTTGAGTGGGTGGCGAATATCGTCCCAGTACCGAAGAAAGATGGGAAAGTTCGAATGTGTGTCGAATATAGAGATCTCAACCGAGCTAGTCCAAAGGATAATTTTCCTTTGCCACATATAGACACTTTAGTGGATAATACTGCTGGAAATTCTTTGTTCTCTTTTATGGATGGTTTCTCTGGCTATAATCAAATTAAGATTAACCCTGAAGATATGAAAAAAAACGACGTCCGTTACCATGTGGGGAACGTTTTGTTATAAAGTAATGTCGTTTGGATTAAAGAACGTCGGTGCAACATATCAAAGGGCCATGGTGACGTTATTTCATGACATGATGCATAAAGAAATAGAATTTTATGTCGATGATATGATTGTCAAAGCTAAGACAGAGGAAGAACACATTGTGAATTTAAGAAGGCTCTTTAAAAGACTAAGAATATGCCAGCTAAAACTTAACCCAAATAAATGTACTTTTGGGGTGACATCTGGGAAGTTGTTGGGATTCGTAGTAAGATGAAAAGAAATTGAAATGGACCCAGATAAAGTAAAAGTTATTCAAGACTTTCCACCCCACGAACACAAAAAGAAGTCAGAGGATTTTTAGGGAGATTGAATTATATAGCTCGATTTATTTCACAGCTGACGGAAAAGTGTGATCCCATATTCCACCTTCTTCGCAAGAATAACTCAGGGGAATGGAGTGAGGATTGTCAAAGAGCTTTTGAAGCAGTGAAAATATATTTGTCGAGTACTTCAATCTTAGCGCCACCTGTCTCAGGCAAACCATTGATTCTGTATTTGTCGGTTTATGAAAATTCAATGGGGTGTGTGCTGGGGCAACGTGACCAAACTGAGAAGAAAGAAAAGACTATCTATTATCTAAGTAAGAAGTTCACTGAATATGAGACTAGATACTCACCCATTGAAAAGTTGTGATGCGCTTTAGTATGGGCTACCCGAAGGCTTAGGCAATATATGTTGTATCATACTACTTGGCTTATATCCAAGCTTGATCCCTTGAAGTATCTTATGGGTGTGCCTGCGTTATATGGAAGATTAGATCGTTGGCAGCTCCTATTGTTTGAAATTTACATCCAGTATGTAAACCATACAGCAATTAAAGGAAGTGCTATAGCGGAATTCATTGCAAGCAGGGCTTCGGAAGAATATGAGTCGTTGAGCTTTGATTTCCCATATGAGGATTTAATGGCTATTTCGATAGAAGAAACAGTTGCATCCACTAGTAAATATTGGAAGTTGGACTTCGATGGTGCTTCAAATGCCATGGGACATGGAATTGGGGCAATTTTGGTATCACCAGTGGGAGATCATTATCCTTTCACCAGTCGGCTTAATTTTGATTGTACAAACAATTTGGCCGAGTATAAAGCTTGTGTTATGGGTCTTAGAGCTGCCGTTGAACGTAAAGTAAAAATGCTCAAGGTGTATGGGGATTCAGCTTTGGTAATCTACCAACTCAGAGGAGAATGAGAGACAAAAGAGCCTAAGCTTGTACAATACCGTAAGTTGGTTATGGAACTTGTTGAAGAATTTGAAGAAGTAACTTTCAATTATCTCCCCAGAGAAGAGAATCAAATGGCAGATGCCTTGGCCACACTGGCAGCAACATTTAAGATGAACGAGCATTCAAACATGATGCCCATTGAAATGAAGGCTTATGAGTATCCAACCCATTGTTTTAATATTGAAGAGAAAGAAGATGGAAACCCCTGGTATTATGACATCTTGCAATATATAAGATATCAGAGTTATCCGGAACAGGTCAATGAGAATGATAAGAGAACCATTAGAAGAATGGCATCAGGGTATGTGCTTGATGGTGAGACTCTATACAAGAAAAGTCTAGACCAGGTCTTGTTAAGGTGTGTTAACACGAAAGAAGCCAAGTTGATTCTTGAAGAAGTGCATGAAGGAATATGTGGTATTCATGCTAATGGGCATGTTATGGCTAGGTAGATTATGAGATTTGGGTATTATTGGTCAACTATGGAAACTGGCTGTATTAATTATGCCAGAAAATGTCACAAATGTCAGATTTATGGAGATAAGATGCATACTCTTCCTCATCCGTTGCATGTAATGACAGCTTCGTGGCCATTCTCAATGTGGGGCATGGATGTTATTGGACAAATTTCTCCCAAAGCTTCAAATGGTCACCGCTTCATTCTGGTAGCCATAGATTACTTCACCAAGTGGGTAGAAACAGCTTCTTACGCAAATGTTACCCAGTCGACGGTATGCAAATTCTTAAAGAAGAAAATCATTTGTAGATATGGTTTACCAGAGAGGATTATCTCCGATATTGCGTTGAATTTAAATAATAAGATGATGGATTCAGTTTGTAAGCAGTTCAAAATAAAGCATCATAATTCCACCACTTACCGCCCGAAGATGAATGGGGCAGTAGAGACGGCTAATAAAAACATCAAAAGGCTCATAGAGAAAATGACTGAGACCTATAAGGATTGGCATGAAAAGTTTCCATTTGCTCTTTTTGCTTATCGAACTTCTGTACGGACGTCAACTGGGGCAACTCTTTTTTCTATGGTATATGGGATGTAAGTTGTCTTACCTATTGAGGTGGAAATTACCTCACTTCGGATTTTGTCAGAGGTGAAGCTAAATGAGACAGAATGGGTACAAGCTAGGTATGACCAATTGAATTTGATTTAAGAAAATAGATTGAAAGCTATTTGTCATGGTCAGATGTACCAGAAACGTATGATAGGAGCACATGGTAAGAAAGTTCGCATTCGAGAATTCCACGAAGGAGATTTGGTGCTTAGAAGGATTTTGCCTACTCAGAAAGATTTTCGAGGAAAGTGGACGCCCAACTAGGAAGGGCATTATGTTGTCAAGAAAGCCTTTTCAGGGGGAGCTCTAGTTTTAACTAAAATGGATGGATCAGAATTACCCTATCCAGTAATTCCGACGCTATTAATAGATATTTCGCTTGAAGAAAAAAATGAAAAAAGAAGAAATGAAAAAAAAATGAAAAATGATGAAAAAATAAAAAAATAGAAAAAAGAAAAATGGAAAAATGGAAAAAAAATGAAAAAGAAAAAGAAGAAAGAGAAAAATGAAAAATGAAAATGAAAATGAAAAATGAAAAATGAAAAATGAAAAAAGAAAAAAGAAAATAAAAGGGGGTTCAAGATGAAAATCCGTAAAAGGCGTCTTGAAACTAAAGGAGGTCTCAAGTTGAAAACTCGCAAAGGGCGACTTGAGTTTTGTTTAAATTCAGAATTCGTGCATGGTGGAGGTTCTGAATTGATTTTGGAAGGGAAAGAGCTCATGATATGGGTAGTAATAATGGCAATTAATGATTAGGGTTGAGACCAACGATTAATAAGTCTTGATGAAAACAACTAGGAGGGAAATTGAATGCACATGAGATTCAATACTGGTTTACGGCATCCAATGATGGGAGATTTGGGAGTTTAGAAGTAGCTTCACACTCTTAAGCATCATCCCAATGTTGGAGATCTTTTCGACAGAAGCTACACTCGAGACATTCTAACGGAGTGCCAATTCAAAAGTATTTGCATTATTGATATTTGAATAAGCCTACTCTTTTGTTCTTTTACTTTTTCCAGTTAAAAAGTTTGCCATGTAGTTACCTAAAATTCTCTGCATTATATAAATAAAGAGATGTTTTTTCTTGTTAATTTCCCTTTTGCAAGCATCTTATTTTGAAAAGTTAAAACATATAGCTTAACTTGAAGTACATGAGATCATTTGTATTATTGTGCAAAAGGTTTTGGGAAAATGCAGGTGTTCTGAAGCTAACAATGGTTTTAACATGTAAGCTTGTATAGTTACGGGAAGCTAAAACCTTGTCGTTCATAGAAAATCTCAGCCATTAGAAGATGGCCCAAAGAGATTGGCATTTAGCAAGAAGTTGTTCATGGGTACTGGCGGATTTCAAGAAGGAAATGAGTCAATGTCTTGTTAAACCGAGAGATATGAAATTGAGATTGTTAACTAGGGTGAACTGGTCAAATGTTCTGTGCCCAAGACGAAACCGAGTTCCATTGAGATCAAAGGAGATGGTGTTCATTCGAAGAAGAAAATGCATTAAATTGCATAATTGCATACATTTTAGGCATGAATAGGATCATGACATTCATAATTGCATGATGACTTAAGCATTCACAGGTTTCCCAAAGATAGTTAAAGATTGAAGATATTGAAGCATCGAGATAAAGATAACTAGTTTTGAGATCTTGAAAAGAATGATGTTTATACGAAAACTGAGCCAAAGCAGATTCACATATCCAATGGTTTCTGGACAAGTTTTCATGATGGAGATGGATTTTTAGAAATTTTCTCAAATTATATATAATATTTTCATGCATATGTTCATGATTGATAATGTTTGATTTTCAGGTTTGACCTTCGAAACAAGTCAATCTTAAGCCTTCACGAAAGAGCAATGAAGCAATTCAATCTTAAGCCTTCACGAAAGAGTATTGAAGAAATTCAATCTTAAGCCTTCACGGAAGAGTAGTAAAGCAAACTCATTTTATGAAGATCGAGTCTTATACTCTCTAAAGGAATAGGGAGCGGACACGTTTGTTGAAGATCAAGTCTTAAACTCTCTGAAGGAATAGGGAGCGAACACGTTTGTTGAAGATCGAGTCCTATACTCTCTGAAGGAATAGATAGCGAACCCGTTTTATGAAGATTGCTCGAGTTCTATACTCCCTGAACGAATAGGGAGCAGACCCATCATTCAAAGATTTTTCAAGTTTTATTTATCCCGAAGTAACAGTGGAGTGCTTTAATCTTTTGAAGTTCCCAGGACCGGACAAACTCGATCATCTTTTGATCTTTGCTCTATTCTTGTTACACGATAATGAGCAAAGAGGGACAGCTGTTGATACTCAATTTATCCGGGGCTAAGTCGGAGCATACCCGAAGTAATGACATGCCTATAGAAGAACCTAACCCGTTGAAGGCCCAGTTCAAGCCCAATGACCCAGTAGTGTTATCATCCAAGCCTCCAGTCCGTGATGTCCTAAAAACTGAAAAAATAGTTATCGGGAGTTAAAAAAACCGTAAATGGGGTGAGGGCCGATTTTTATTGATTAACTACCAGAGATTAAAAGTGATCAAGGCCAAAAAAATGGAAAAAAAACCAGAGACGATTGAAAAGAAAAACCAATGAAAAACACAGAAAAAAGGAAAAATCCAACTAAAGGGAGAAGACTAGGAGCAGATTGGCCATTTCACAGTGTAAAAGGGATACAAAAGGAACAATAGTGTAATCTTATAATTCAAGAATAGAGAAAACAATAGAGGTACATGTATTTTTTGAGAAATTCTCCCTCAATTCTTTATTTTTAAGTTCGTTTTCTTTGTGTGTGTGTGTGATTGTTATTTAAAACTAAAATTTGAGAGGGATTGGGACTTACCTAGACTACCCAAACACGAGTGGAGTCTTGTTGACTCCATTTGTTCTCTGCGTTGGTTCCATTGTCAGGAAAAAAGTGAGATTTAGTTTAACAAAACCAAAATAAAATAGAGGAGAGCGAGTGGTTGTCTACATTTGAAAAGAATAGCTATCGCCTTTAGGAGGGGTTCCCCAGAGTTTTCGGTCGTGCTGTTGAGGTTAGGTAGTCGTGGTAGGGATTCGATTTAGGTTCGGAAGTCTTATTTTTTTAGAGTCTAAGGCCAAGGAGGGAATGTAACAATGGGTTATCCATTTTTGAGTAAGCGAAGCAAATACAAAACAAAGATTCAAAAAAGCATTTCATCATTTTAAAAATCATTGTCATGTTTCATTGTAACAAAAGAGAAATTGAAAGTAAGAGGGGTTTGATTCATTACCTGAGCAGTGGAGAGAAACGCCGTTCGTGAGGAGAGATAAGAATGGAGAGGAAGATGAGAGCCAGTCGTGTATTTTGGTAAATTAGTTTATGTTTGTTTTTATTTAGGTTATATATTAGAGTTTTTGGTTAAATTAGTATTTAGTCACGGAAACTTTTAGGTAAAATTATCTTTTGGTCCTTAGAGGTTTAGCTCTTATTTTTACTTTGGTCACTTGTGGGACTGCTTTCGAATTCAGGTTTTTTGTCCTAATGTTGTTATTTTCCAGATTAGTTTCCTTGTTTTATTATTTCAGTATATTTATGCTCACGCTCCTCCTATTTAGTTATTTTTACGTTTTAATCCTCTGTTTGTTAATTGACAAATTATAACCTTGGTGTCGGGAATGTTATTATTTTTGTATCATAACTCAATACTTGTACAGTTTGTTATTTTAGCATCAGATTTACATTCCCATTTTAATTTGGTCACATGTCTTTAAGTTCTTTTAATTTTTTATCATTTTTACAATAGTATGTTGTCTACGTCATTTATGTTTTAACCTTAAATTAGTTTTTTTACATTTTAGTTCATGTTTAAGTTTTTATGCGTATGCATGTATAGTTAGTTAGGGTTGTTTTCAAATGTATGCTTCATATGTTTGAATGATGATGATGATATGTATACATGTATACATAGGTGGTTTATTAATTAGATAATTTTTTATATATATTAATTTGTATGATATCCTCATGTGCATAACTCGATATATTACATAATTGGATTAAGGGTAAGACACTTTTAATTTAAAATTATTTTAAGTGGGTTGTCATAATGTATTTGAGATCCGCTTTTAATGATTTTAAAATAAAAGTGTATCCCATTAGTTACGCCTAAAAATCGATCCATCACTTTAAAATTTAGGAATGGAAGAAAAAGAAATGTTCGACTATTTAAATTTATCGAGAAAATATTGTTATAGCTTTTAAGATCTGATCTCGATATTTGTAAATAATCGAACATTCTTTATCTTTCTAAAACAACTTTATAATTTTAATTTAATTTATTTGGATGCTTTTGAATATTATTAAATTCACATCTTTGTTTTATGAGATCAAAAATTAAATTAAGTTCGAATTTGTAAAATTCATTGCAAAGACGTTAATTAATCGATTAGGTACCGATTTAGGACGTTGTGGGGGTGCTAATCCTTCCTCACTCGTAATCGACTCCCAAACTCGATTTTGATAACGCATACTTTAACTTGTTGTTTTAATTAAAATTAATTTTTATTTAAAATAACAAAAATATTTTTGAGTGTCCAATCACACCCTAATCAAATATTAGTGACGACTATTCGAACCATATTTTTTTATTGTAAACAAAATCCCAAAATTTTCGAAACGAGAGGTTTTTTAAATTGTATTTGTTTTTTAAATTAGAAATCAATTGAAAGTGATAAATTAAAAATTAATGTGGTTTTCAAAATCTCACTTTATCACTTTTAAACAAAAAAAATAGTTTCGAAACTAATCTAGTACAAGTAATTAGCTTGTTGAAATAAAAGAAAGAAATACCTTAAAAGTAATAAAATTCAAAATTTACTCGAGAGAAGAACATTCTTTTTTGATTGTGGACTTAGAGATCATGCTTGCCTTCTTCCTTAATACCTAATAGCTTAGCCAACTCTCCAATCTCGTATGCTTCAACAGTATCTGAAAAATAGGAACACAGTTTGTTAACGTCTCTACCGATTCTATCATCCCAGCATATTGCAATGGCATAAATCTAGAAGGGTTAAATTTGCAGGTAAAGAAAAGCAAAAGTTACCATCTGAGCCTCCGAGCTGTTTTCCATTAATGAAAACCTGTGGCACAGTGCGCCTACCAACAATCTCACTCATCGCATCCTGAATGCTCCATCCATCATCTGTCAACACAAAAGAAAAGTAACTCTTCCAACTTCAAGCATTTCAAGTTCAAAATCAATTTGATGCTACTACTGTAAATTTCAGTTGAAGCTAGTAAAATCTAAGAGAAACCAAGGCTCTGCTGTACCAATTTAGTTCAGACTTTCTATCTCACAAGCAAAGCGAAATTTGCAGCCAAACAGTAATTTGTACAAAATAAAAATGGGAATTTAATTGTCAGCAGACCTCGCTCATCAAGCTCCACAACGAACGGAACTTGATTCAGCTCCTTGAACACGGCTTTTGCCCTCTTACAGTACCTGCATAACACCAAAAAAGTAGTAAATTTTAGCCCAGACATAAAATTTAGTCGTCAATATATATAAGTAATTATTTTGGAATTATTCAAACAATGAACAGAACATATTAATAAAAGCGGAATTAAAACTAAAAAAAGGAGGAGATTGTATCAAATAATACTAAAAGGGAGAAAATCAGTAAAAAACATTATAGATCGAGAAAGAACACAAAGCAAGCTAATTGATTTTTGTCATTTGGATAAGAAATCATTAATAGAAGCAGAACGAATGAGAAGAAAATCGTACGGGCAATAGGACTTTGAGAAGATGACGATCTTGTGGGCAGAGATGGTCTTTTTGACGAAAGCAGCTTCAGGCGAATCAGCCGACGATACCCAACACAGAGATGCTGTAATTACCAAGATCGACGCTATCAAGATTTTCACCGCCGCCATGATAATCCCACCCCTAAACCTCTGTATGTGCTCTCACGGTACCGATTGTTAGTCTCTATGCTTTACAAATGCAATTGTTTTTGGTAACGAAGATTGAAACACCCTAAAATCGCAGGTCTTGGGAACCCATGGGAAGCTAATCAGGCCTTTAATTTCCGACGCCCGTTCACTAAAAAGGCCGAGGCTGATGACTATTAAAAGAGGAACTCGTAATCGGCAAAATTGGCCCAATAGGGCAAACGAGTAAACTATTTGGGAAAATAGGGTAGAAGTTTGTTTTGAGATGTCCGGTATTTTCTACAGTATTTCTAGAACTCATCACGTTAAATTGTGAGTTCTAATAAAAATTATTTTTTATTCAAATTTGTTATCTCAAGGTGACGAGTTCTAATAAAATATAATTTTTTATTAAAATTTATTACATCAAGATAAAAAGAATAAAAAAAATTATTGGAACTTGTCATCTTGACGAGACGAGTTACATGCATTGTAAAAAATGCAATAGATCCCAAAATAAAAGTGTTTATATCCTATTTTACATATTTTTTTCGGGTTGCCCTATTGGGCAAAAAAAAACCACTCGCAATCAGTTCAGATAATCTGAATGATACTATTTCATTTAGGGTCTATTTAATAGATTGTAATTGGTTTTCTAAAAAATAATTTACGTAAAAAATATTACTTAAAAATTGTTTTACATAAAATGAATTACATGAAAATTATTTTACGTAAAATAAATTACATTTTTAGGGAAATAGTTTTCGAAAACTATTTTACAGTGTTTTGATGATATTGTGTAAATTATTTTCAGTAATTGTTTGATACACTATAATTAATTTTATAGAAAATGATTTTCATAAAATGAATAAAGTACGGTTTGATTAATATTTTCAAAAAAAAAAAATTCGGCTAATGATTAAAGAAAAAGAGTTCAATTTATTCGATAGGTGATTGAATTAACCATTTGAACAACCTTAATTTTAATTATTAGTATTTTATTAACGTAAAAATAAATTATAATATTAATATTAAATATATAAATTAATATTACTCATTATTAATAATTTAATAATATTATATTTATATAAAGATAATTGATAAATATTAATAATTTATTATATATTACTAAATTAAAAATAGTTTGTAATATATCTGAATATATATATTAATGTAATATTAAAAATATAATATTATTAAAATTATATTATTTTTATATTAAATATTTTATTAATTAATATTTTTTTATTAAAATGATATTAAAATATGATTTTAATATTAAATGTATAAAATAATTTTTTTTAATGCTTATACTCTGAAGTGAAAAGTTATGAAAATGTTTTATAAAAAATTTAGATGGTAAAATAATTTACAGAAAATACAAAGGAAATAGAAAAATAAATTACACTGGGAAAATTAATTTCAACTATCGAACACCGGACAATGTTTTTCAGAAAACATTTCCTAGTTATCAAACACAGAAAAAATAAGGAAAATATTTTTTAGTTATCAATTAGTTTCATAATATTATCCAAGGACTTAATCTTTTTTATTATTTTCCATCCATTGAATTTTCATCACGAATATATTTCTTCGATAACTTAAGTGTGTCAATTTTTTTTTCTCAAATACATTTTTAATAAATTTGGTTTTTTTATTAGAAGAACAATGACCTATGAGATATCTCCTATGATTTAAAATTGATGTATATTTTTATACTAAATGAATGTTCATTATTTACTATTTTAGACCTGAAATTTAATACTTTAGAAATAATCGCTATAGAACCACAATATTTTTTAGAGATAAAAATGACGGCCTCATTAAAAACCTCTTCTAGTAAGAAAAGTGTGACCAAATTCTATTACCGGAAAACCATGTCAAAGATACAATCATATGCAACTTTTTATGTGAGCAGAACTCATTAACCAGTGTGGTTTACTTCTTTTTCTGTGAGCAGTTGATAATTGATGAAGATGATGAAAGATTGGGGGAGTTGAGAAACGAATGAGGTGAAATGGTCTACAAGGCTGTTACTGGTACCTTCTGGTAAATCTTAAGATGTCAGGTCCCCCCCCCCCCCAAAAAAAAACAAGAGCGGAACAGCTGAAAACATGCTTAGCGGCAACAAGACCAGGCAGGCGAATTGTCATATCTTTTCTGTTGATCAAAACACAAGATGTCAAAGTATTTGTTCTATTTGGAGGCTTTTGAAGGGTTGCACTGTGAAGGGTTGAGTTGGCTTTTCATTTGTGATCAAAATATGCTGCTATATATAGAAGAATGATAAACAAAAAAAATCATCTAAAACATGGAAATGAAGAACTGAAATCATTAAGATAATGCTTAAGAAGTCTCACATGGTCTTGTCTCTATGATCTTTTATGAGATGGAAGGGCTGAAATCATACTATGGTCTGTATGTGGACAAACAATGTGCCCTGAAGTTTTGAGAGAAGACCAATCAAAGGCCAGCAAAAGATTGGAGTATTTGATGTAGACAGAGGAAATGAAAAATGAGAGTTAGATATGAATGCAGATGCTTAAATGATGGACCAACAACCTGCTTCACCACAAGCAGTCTCCTTAGTTGATAACTCTGGCCTGGCCTACAACTTAAAATGGAACAGAAAAAGAGGCCAATAATAGTTGGGCGCTCAAGATTTTAGGCATATGAAGCTTTATGATATTAGCTACAAAATGCTTCTGACATGAATGAAATATATAAACAAGCAATGTTGGAAGGGATTTTAGGCTAATTGGATGCAAAAAAAGATATGTCCAAGAGCCAAACACTGGCTTATATTGGCTGCAGTAGCTCATAGGGCAAGCCCTTGTGAAGAACACCTGAAGTGTGTCCTACAGGCTAGAACTTGTCAAAATGCTATTATTTGTTGGGATGAAAGGCCATGTGATTCCTCCCAATAGATATCTCTCAAGCAATTTCTCTTCACCACTCAATTAGCCTGAGATTGCTGACCATATACAATATTTTCTCTTTATAAATACAGATTCTAATGGATAGCTCCACCAAGTGCCAAAGCATTTCCTAGCTGCTTCTCTAAATTCCAATTCCACACATTTCCTCATCCTAACAATCTCACAAAAACCATGGGTTTCCGCTTGCCAAGAATTGTTAATGCTAAGCGGAGTCTGAAACGGACTCTTTCATCTTCAGAGACCACAGTGGTTCCCCGAGGTCACTTTGCTGTATACGTTGGAGAAGCTGAAAAGAAGAGATTTGTAGTCCCCATATCATTGCTGAAGCATCCTTCATTCCAGACTTTGTTGAGTGAAGCTGAAGAAGAGTTTGGATTTGATCACCCTATGGGTGCTTTGACAATCCCTTGTAGTGAAGAAGCTTTTGGCGATCTTACTCGCAATCTGCGAAGCTCATGAGATGAAATGATGTGCGAATTGGCTAAGCAAGCAGAGATTGACTGATATTTAGCTCAACCGACCCTTCCCAAATTTTAGTTTTAGGATGCAAGTGTGTAAGGTGGATTGTTTTATGCAATCCCATTCCCTTGTCAACTAGATAAAATTTTGTAACTAATATATAAATGCAGAATTTCTTTCAGAGAAACTCCATGAATTTTATTTCTGATGTGTGGACAATTTCAGCCTACGGTCAGAAGCCTTTTATGCCATCATTTACCACGTAATATATAATCTCTCACTCCTGATTTAAAGGGTTTCATGTATGAATAAGATCTATTTGCATGAAAATTCGACCTTTTACAGTTTTTTTTATTTTATTTTTTTTGAGATTTTGGAATATGGGGTCTAAATAAATGTATTTCATTTTACGAATATCGCAGTTTCTATATGTTTCCTTTCTGTCATGTACATCTTGAAAGGATACCACTTCAAGGCTTCCGCACAATATGATTGCCCTTGGAGCCGTTCAAAATCTGAAAATCATGGGTTCATACCACTTGAAGACCAATGTATAGACTCCACAGTTCAGCTTGAAGAGATGTTAACGATACCAAGAGCTTTTTGAAATCCAATGATCCAGCCACCATCGCTAGGACGAAACACAACTCCGATAAATTCAAAAACAGTGGGTGATGGTGAGGAGCAACGTCTTCAAGGATGATCTTCCTGGGTATAAGAAAAAAGAAGTGAAAGTAGAGACTGAAGATGCAGAGTGCTTCAAATCAGTGGGGGGAGGAACGTTGAGAAGGAAGAAAATAATGATATTTGGAACAGGGTTGAACTTAGAAGTGGGAAGTTTATGAGGAGATTCCGGTTGCCTGAGAACTTCAAAACGGATCAAGTTAAAGCTTCCATGGAAAGTGGGGTTCTTACTGTTGTTCCCAAAGTGGAAGTGAAGAAACATGACGTCAAATCCATTGATATTTCTGGTTAAATGATGACTTTTTGTAGGTTTTGTTGTTAAACATTGGAACTTGATTATTGGTCTTCAAGTTCGATAATTCTTCGTGTTGTTCTGTAGTGTTTAAGTGATGAGCAAAGTCTCAAATTTGTGTTTGTGCGTGTAAGACTACCAGGTCCTCATATATAATGTAAAAATGCTGGTATAAACGTGAAATGTAACTGTTTCTATCAACCAATATGGAAAATTAAAGTATGAATGGCATCATTTCTTTTCTGAATTTTCAATGGTCCCTTGTTCTCTTTTGAACTTTAATTGTTTCTTTAGGTATTACTACTAAGGTTCTAAAAGGATCAAATTCATCCATATTTTCAAAGGAAATTCTTATCCTCATTTTGATGGTCTCATCATGAGCTTTCTCCATGTCTTTCACTTATGATCTTTCATACCTGGTTAAAATGGGTTCCATACATTAACAGGATGTCTATTGCATGAAAGTATTGCAGTTGATAGCTATTTCTTTGCTGTCGTAGGCAGCTACTGTGATGGCATGTTATCAGCCAATATAGGAACATACCATATCAAAAAGTACTTCAGACAACGCTACTTGTGATCTTCTATATATATATATATATATATAACATGGACTTGTAACTTTAGAACCTTTTGTTGGCAGTGATCAATTCAGATAAAAATGGATGACTTATTATCATTGGTTAAATGTATGAATTTGAGGTCAAAGTTGCCATTAATCTGAAAATTTCAACCCTTTGTTGCACATGGTAGCTCGGAAGCATGTTTCTGCTGCTATTAGCACTTCTATTCAACCAATTATTTCTTGAAAAAACTGAGGCTATCCTCGTGTGTTGTGAGCGCAAATGAAACAATCTCACATGCATTGGCAACTAGATTATTTCTGTGTTCAACACCGATAGAGAGCAACTATTGCAAGCAGTTTTGATGTATATTATTAGTCTTTGATTCTAGTTATCAGCAAACATGTAGGTCTCTGCATACCAAATCATTTTTTCTGGCCACCGCTCGACTACATGGCTTTCCATCCATATGATCTGCTAAGTTAAATTTATTGTCATCTAATAAATAGTCTTCCAAATAGGCCAGCTTTGTTGGTCACATTGAATGCTCAGCTATGGTAGATCTGCAACAGAATGAACTTAGGTACCAAACTTGTCAAAATGCTATCGTTTGTTGGGAGGCATGACCATGTGATTCCTCAAACCATGTCTTCTTAAAGATTTTCCCATTGAAATTTCTTTTCGACCACAAATTCAGCCTCAGATTGCTTGACCAATGCCATGAACTATTTTCTAGCTCTCTCTATAAATAGACATTCTAACAACAGCCCCTCACTTCCAAAGCCTTCCCAACAGAACCAGTTACACTTCTTCTATCTACCACAAGTAAAAAGAATCCATACTCATCACAAACTCATGGGTTTTCGCTTGCCAAGAATTGTTAAAGCGGAGTCTTTCGTTTTCAGATACGACAGCGGTGCCCAAAGGCCGCTTTGTTGTTTATGTCGGATAAAGCTGATGAAAAGAAGAGATTCTTTGCCCCGATTTCACTTCTGAACCATCATTCATTCCAAAAGTTGCCGAGCGAAGCTGAAGAAGAATATGGATTTAATCATCCTATGGGTGCTCTAACAATCCCCTGCGGTGAAGATGCCTTCCTTGATCTCATCTGCAGCTTCCAAAGCTCATAAAGTTAGAGATTCTATAATGGCTAACCAAGCAGCTGACACCAACTCTCCTTAACAGGCAAATACCAGTTTGTTTTGCATAGGAAGCAACTGTAATTGGTGGATTGTTTTATGCAATCCCATACACTTTGTGAACTCAATTACTTTTTGTAATCACTCTACAAATTGAATGGAAAAATAATCTTTTTACAAAAGTATATTGTCATAGATACTTTTTCTTCGACTAGCTTTATATTACATCTAATTTGTGCTTTATTGGTCAATGATATAATTTACCAAACATATCCTTCTCTTGATATTTTAAGTTTGACCAGTTCTATGTTACATCTATTTGGAAAGCAAAAGCAAATTACAGGCCAAATGTTCAACATTCCTGGATTACTTATCCATGAATGATTAATCCAGGAAAAAATATCAGAAGGGGATAGTTAGATATTAGATGCAGATGTACAACTAAACAACTAAAAGGAAAGAGGAGAGTTTGATCTGTGATGAACAAGTATTAACTCATTGATTAGGCTTTCCTGTGTCTTGGTTGAAAAAACTGTTGTAAATTAAGGCTGATTGCTAAAGAGGGAAAAAAGCATTCTTGATTAAAACCAGTGGATGGTTAAAACCAAATTCCTGAGAAGTTATATGAATGAACATATTTCCATGACAGACTTAACTGTCAAAGCACCCAGTGGATGATTAAAACCAAATTCTTCTTCCGATATGCTTAGCAAATCTTGTAACAAAGGTTGGTTCCAAAATGATACAGGAACAACATATCTCTTCTTTTCAGATTCTCCAACATAAACTGCAACGAAACCTTTCGGTACATCTAAAGATGTTGATCAAATATGCTTAATGGAACCATCACCAGGCAGATGAATTACCAAATCTCTTCCTCTAAATGTTTATGTTACATGTCTCTGGCCATATGTTTCAGCAAATAACAAATAAGTGAATTCTTGAATTCTTCCATGCTATATGTTTCTTATCATTGAATGGTAGCTTTTATGTCTCAAGCATGCCAAACACACATGGTGAAGTAGTGAGCAAATAAGCTTTCTATGGCTCCAAAGACAAGAACATGTGACCGTCCATTCTCCCATATTAACCCATGTCTCTTTCATTACTCATCAGACCCCAGCAATTAATTGCCCCTTCCTCACTCATTCAGCATCCCCTACTTGATAGAACAACATTTCCCTTGTAACCCTCACAATATATACAAGTTCATTTGGCAACATTTATCTTCACAATTACTAAATTTGTTCACCTTTGCTTTCCAAGTTTTTAAGATCTTCTTCTTCCATAAAAAAGGTGAAAACCATGGCTATCCGCCTCCCTCGCATTGTTAGCGCTAAGAAAGTTCCCAAGGGCTACTTTGCAGTTTATGTTGGAGAAAACTAGAAGAGGTTTGTGATACCAGTGTCATTCCTGAACCAGCCTTCGTTTCGAGATTTGCTAGGCTTGTCGGAAGAAGAGTTCGGATATAGACATCCTACTGGTGGTCTCAGAATTCCCTGCAACGAAGACATCTTTCTTGAAGTTACCTCTCGCTTGAATTGATTGTCAGAGAATTTAACACTAATCGGCTATATAATTTTGTAAAACAAACATCAAGAATACTATGTAGACACCTTTTTTCTCCATCCTTTTTTTGCCTTGGGGGAATCTCCCTAAGTGAAAATTTAGAGATGGTTGTAACTGCAACTTTTTCTATCAATTAATATGGAAAATGACCGTAAGAAATGTATCATTCAATTGAAATTTTTGTCTTTTTTCTGAATTTTCCATGGTCCTTTGTTGATCTTTAGTAGCACGGTACATGATCTATCTTGTTCTAAAATGACTTCATGCTTCCAATTTGCTTTTGCATATTATTAGTAAGGCTCTAAAAGATCAGATAAGTGGATAATTGTTGGAAGAATGTTTGGTTGTGCAGATATGACAATAAATTAAGATACAAAATGATTTAAGCCATTAAGACCAACTGAAACTATTTTGCAAGTGGATGGGCGTAGCTACATGATTGGTTCTTATTCCAAAATTGCAGCTACCAATTTTATTGACAGTAAGACTGTAGGAGACACCTAATGTCAACTATTTTGTCTGTTTGTTTATCAGTACTAAGAATGATAAGCAAACAAATCTCTAAAACATGAAAATGAGTGGCTGTGCTGGGGTTTCATTATGATGATGCTTAAGAAGTCTCACATGGTCTTTCCTCTATGATCTTCTATAAGATAAAGGGCTGAAATCATATTATGGTCTGTTTGTGGAGAAACAATGTACCCTAGAGTCTTGAAAGAAGACCAGCCAAAGGCCAGCAAAAGATTGGAGTATTTCAGGTAGACAGAAGCAATGAAACACGAGATTTAGATATAGGGATGCTTAAATAATGGACCGACATGGATGAGAGCCTGAGGCTTCTATAACAGAGGACCCTTTGATCTTCAGCTTGAACTTTAGTGGACAATGCGGGGTCAGGCTCCTACTTTACCACAAGCATTCTCCTTGACTGATAACTCAGGCCTGGCCTACAACTTAAAATGGGAAAAAAAGGAGGCCAATAGAGAATAGGCTAAAGATTGGAAATGTACAGTTGGGCGTTCAAGATTTTAAGCATATAAAGCTTTATGAGATGGTACAGTTTGCTTCATACATGAATGAAATATATAAACAAACAATGTTGGAAGGGATTTTAGACTAATTGGATAAAAGAAATGTCCAAGAGCCAAACACTGGCTTTGTGTTCCTTGATTGCAATAGCTTGTAGGGCAAGCCCTTGTGAAGAGCACCCTGAAGTGTGTGTCCTACAGGCTCGAACATGTCGAAATGTTATTATTTGTTGGGATGCAAGACCATGTGATTCCTCCCAATAGATATCTCCCAAGCAGTCTCTCTTCACCACTCAATTAGCCTAAAATTGCTGACCATATACAATATTTTCTCTTTATAAATACAGATTCTAATAGATAGCTCCACTAAGTGACAAAGCCTTTCCTAGCTACTTCTCTAAATTCCAATTCCACACTCTCATTCCCTCATCCCAACAGCCTCGCCAGAACGATGGGTTTCCGCTTGCCGAGAATTGTTAGTGCTAAGCCGAGTTTGGAACGGACTTTTTCAACTTCGGAGACCACTGTGGTGCCCAAAGGCCACTTTACTGTTTATGTTGGAGAAGCTGAAAAGAAGAGATTTGTAGTCCCCGTATCATTCCTGAAGCATCCTTCATTCCGGACTTTGTTGAGTGAAGTTGAAGAAGAGTTCGGATTCGATCACCCTATGGGTGCTTTGACAATCCCTTGTAGTGAAGAAACTTTTGTCGATCTTACTTGCAATCTGCAACGCTCATGAGATGAAGCGATTTGCGTATTGGCTAACCAAGCAGAGACTGTCTGCTATTTAACTCAACTGACACCTCCCAAATTTGTGTTTTAGGAACCAAGCATGTAAGGTGGATTGTATTCCGCCGATGCCCTTGTCAACCATTTTAATTTTTGTAACCATTGTATAAATGCAGAATTTCTTTCAGAGAAGCTGTTTCTTGTGATGAATTTTGTTTCTGATGTTGTGTGGATAACTTCAGCCATAATCTATTTTCCATGCTCTAGTCTTTTATGCCATCATTTATCACTTAATCTATAATCTCTCACTCCCGGTTAAAAAGGTTTTCATGAATGAACAATGTTGCTTCATTTTTCTCCTCTTTCATTCAGTTTGTATATTAAAATCGTCTCTTGTATTCCTTCCTCTCTCTTTTTTCAAATTAATTTTTCATTCTTGTTCCGTCAACAATCTAGTTGAATCTACAAGTGTTGTCTTGCTAAACGTGTTCAAAGGTCCTTCCAATGCATGCAATATGTCTCCACTTCTATATTACGGTAACCAAATTTACAAACATGGTGCAAAGTATCGTGTATCGCCTAAAGTTCGGCTAGCAATGCTGAACACTCACTTGAACTTCTGGAAAATCCGAAGAGTCACTCCCCTCTATCATTACGGATGACACCCCCCACAGCAGCCGCACTATCGCTGGAATGAACTGATTCCACACTTTAACCCATCCTTCTAAAGGTGGCTTCCATATAGAATAGTTAACTTCATGAAAGATAGTCTTGTGTCGATGTGTACTCCCATAACTATCTCCTCAACAAGTCTCTTGCTTCGTGTTAAAACACTACCGTGTTTAATAAAATTGCTATAAAAAATTTTGAATTCTGGAACTTCCGTAAATTCCAACAAATAACTGGAAACAACATATCCCAATTATTAACATTGAAAGTCTATTATTGCTTTGCAAATTTTCCCATAGCCAGACGTTGAATGGTTTTGCCATGAACTCGACAATCTTCTTCCAATGAATCAAGTTAGTCTATAAGGAGCGAGCATTAGCGCAATGATGTAACACATGATTCGTATCTTCGTGGCTTTGTGGCGCCAAACTCTCCCCTTATTCGTAAGTAGTTTACCGATTTGAGCCAAAATACGGAACATCGAGCTTCCAAATAACCTTTCAATGCCCACCATTCGGTTCATCCTCTGTTACAACAAGTGCGCGATATGTTGATTTGGTAAAGGAAATTCTCCTCTCATCCCATCGCCAAAAGTATCAGCCCCAAAATCAGCATGCGGGGGTGCTTGTCGCAGCAATTTTTTTTAGGATAGAATCCGGTACACAATCAAGTCTTTTGTGTACTAAAGGACCCTCATTGCTCAACCAAGCATCGAACCAAAAATATGTTTGTTGCCCATTTAGGATGTTCCAACTTAAACCACCTAGCACGTCCTCCCAAACCCGATAGATACCCTTCCAAAGACGCGAACAACTATTACCTCGCAACATTGTGGGAATCAAATCCAACTATCATATAAATGAACATATCTTCAGGAGAGGGAATTGTCAAAGTACCCATTGGATGTAAAAACAAACTCTTCTTCTGCAAAAATACATTTTGATTTAATATGGAAACAACCAAGAGATGATAAAAGCAATGTTGTAGAAGATAAGATTCTCCATCTATGACAAGTAGTAGAATACAATATCAACATGGAAGCAACCAAGAAACAATAAAAGCAATGTTGCAGCAACTGATCATAACACTGACTGAGCAGTTAGAGTCCAAGACAATCCCTACTTTGTTTGTTCTTCAAGAAAATTCTTAGAGTTCCTTGGATTTCGGCTGAAATTTTCCCACAACATCGGAAACATTATTCATGACAAGAAATACTTTCTCCAAAAAGAAATTTGGCATTTATATGTAAGTTACAAAATCAGAAGACAAGGGCATGGGATTGCAGATAACAACAATCCACCTTACACGCTTCCTAAAACACAAAATTTAGGAGGTGTCAGTTGAGTTGAAGATCAGTCAATCGCTGCATGGTTAGCCGTTTTCACGTCATTGCTTCTCATGAGCATTGAATATTGCAAGTGAGATCAATGAAAGCTTCTTCGCTACAAGGGATTGTCAAAGCACCCATGGGGTGAGTGAAACCAAACTCTTCTTCAGCTTCACTCAACAGATTCTGGAATGAAGGATGCTTCAGTATTGATATGGGGACCACTGTGGTCTTTGGGCACCACTGTGGTCTCCGAAGATGAAAGAGTCCGTTTCAAACTCGACTTAGCATTAACAATTCTCGTCAAGAGGAAACCCATCGTTTTGGAGAGATTGTTGGGATGAGGGAATGAGAGTGTGGAATTGGAATTTAGAGAAGTAGCTAGGAAAGGCTCTGGCACTTGGTGGATCTATCCATTAGAATCTGTATTTATAAAGAGAAAATATTGTATATGGTCAGCAATCTCATGCTAATCGAGTGGCGAAGAGAAACTGCTTGGGAGATATCTACCGGGAGGAATCACATGACCTTGCATCCCAACAGATGATAACATTTTGACAAGTTCAAGCCTGTAGGACACGCTTCAGGTGCTCTTCACGAGGGCTTGCCCTATAAGCTACTGCAACAAAGGAACACAACCCAATGTTTGGTTCTTGGACATGTCTTTTATCACATCTAAGTATTTTATATACATCCCATTTAAGTTGTAGGCCAGACCAGAGTTATCATCTAAGGAGAATACTTGTGGTAAAGTAGGGGCCTGACCCCCCATTGTCCACTAAAGTTCAACCTGAAGATCAAATGGTCCTCTGTTATAGCAGCCTTAGGCTCTGTACCATTTTGGTCCATTATTTAAGTATATACATCCATTTCTAACTCTCATTTTTCATTTCTTCTGTCTACATCAAATATTCCAATCTTTTTCTGACCTTTGGTTGGTTTTCTTTCAATACCTTAGGGCACATTGTTTGTCCACAAACAGACCAAGTATGATTTCAGCTCTTTATCTCATAGAAGATCATTGAGACAAGACCATGTGAGACCTCTTAAGCATAATCTTAATGAAACCCCAGTACAGCCACTCAATTCCGATTCTAAAAAACATGAAATTTGACCACAGATCTAAACGAATAACTTTCAAGGAAAAAGGGATTCAAGGATACGAACAGATTGCACGAACACATTGCAAATTTAAAACCCTGTTAAAGAACACTTTCAATCTTAAGTAACAGATTGCACAAACATTGCAAGTTAATTCAGCAAACTCAAAGCCAAATCGAATCTCAAATCTAATTAAAAGATTTCGAGGCATTCATTGTTTCAGAGGGTAAACCAGGGCAATCCCAGTAACAAAAACTTCAAATTGCAATCTTAAGTGCGCAAGACCCGTGCAGATGAAATTCAAACCAAGAAAAAATTGCAAAAACAAATTAATAAACAAACCCAGAGAGAGACTAAACTGCAACCTGAAGTGAAAAGAAAAAAAAAACCCCATGAAGATGAATATCTAAACAAACCCAGAAAAATAAATAAACAGAAAACTATAAATTTCTGAAGCGCTAACAGGTTCGGAGATGGAAAATGGAAGAAGGTAGAAAAAAATTAAACCATTTCTCGATATGTTCGTGTCATCCATGCGCAGGGCATGTTGATCTTATCTCTATCGTTTCAATTTTATCGGACATCCCGAAGGGCTTACTAATATGTTTTTCAGCGATGTGGGACTTTTGGTTCGTTCCTAAGTAAATAGCAAACTATGTTAGTGAGGCCCATCGGGTGCTGGATAAGTCTTTGATTATGACGTGTCCCGGTCCGACACATCAACCCGGCCCATCTTATTATTCATAAAAAATTTTCCGAATTTCGATTCTGTGTAGAGTATAGTGACATGATACTAAATTATACAATATTATCACCTAAATTTTAAATATATATATACACACATATTAATATTCTGATATCACATGGAATACATACATTGAAATAACAAGGATAAAAAGAGTAAAACATATGAACTTCTTGCCATCAATTTGTTGATTGTTGCTAGACATTCTCCAGTAAAAGGAGATCGATTCACCGTTCCCGTATGCACAAAGCATTCCTCCTCTATCAACTCTTTAACGGTTGCTTCCAGCTTCATCGACAAGAGATATGTTGTTCCTATAATTACAACTGACAAGCATAAGTCGAGCTTGATTATTAGTTCAAAAGCCGATCATAAGATAACCCCAAGAAATAGAAATAGTTTTTTTTCCCCCGAACTCGTTCACCGACATCTTTTCAGAATGCATTGTTCCAATATAACTCAGAGATGTGAAGGAATCTGTAGGTACAAGCTCATATTGCTAAGCCCAGACGACAGATTAGCGTGATTGACGGGCAGAACCAACGGTTCAAATCTTTTACTGACGGGCACATGATGGCATAGTAATGTGACTGAGTGTGATATGAACCAACAGTTTTTAATTACATAGTTTACTCCTGGAAGCTCTTTAGATGTACAACGCTGCTACATGCTGCTTGTTCAGATTAATGCTTCATTAGGATCAGGTAATTTCCAATGAGTGTTTATTGTTCTGCACCAAGTTTCCTGTATTTGATCAAGTACAATTTCCTCCGAATGCTTTACTTGGAACTCGATTACTGTCGACATGGTACGATTAGCCAAAACCGATGACCTTTACGATATTTAGGGACATAAAAAAGATCCCTAGAGAGCAGTTTACAGTTTCGAGTGAAGGAAGGGTAAAAGGGTATGTGTACTGCAATTTGAAGCAGTAGGGGGAATGATCTCAAAGGATCATACTATGTTGTCTTTTACAGGACAAAAGTAACATGGCCTTCATGTGATGAACCAAAAGCCAAAGTCTTTTTCAACCATAAAAGAATATATCTATATATATATATATATATATATATATATATATATATATGTATCCCTCTCAAGAGACCTATCTTGGCTCAACAAAAGAACCGTATTTCGGTGATGGGTGGTGGGGCTTTCTCGTCTCCTCTTCGCTTTTTCAACCATTTCTCTCATTCACAGAACATGCAAGTGTCTTTCACAGATTGTGACAGATGAAGTAAATTGTTTGCTGTGCTTTTTGTTCCTTGTTGTTGCTGTAAAATCTAGCATTGATCTCTCAAATAACAATGTCATTAGTACATAAAATTAATTCTGTCTTTCTTTTTCATTTGGTCAACTTGTTAGGGTTATCACTAAGATGTGGAACCAAGCTAGGCTAGGAAGATACCAATGGTGAGCCTCATTTGGAAGTATAGCCATTAATAAATGTCTCTAAAATAGTATGAATATTTTCATGTTTGAGCGGTGCAGATTTCAGCAGGACCACATTAAAAAAAAACCCCACCGGCATCTTGGGGACATTCTCTCCAAATTGATGCACCCAACGCTCAAGGGGCTTTTATTCCATGGCAGGCATGGCTTCATTTTCATTTTGTAGATGAAATATGGCTAAACTGAATTCACATACTGACCATGCAAACTCCATGATCAAAACCTGCAAATCTAACAGTGGAAACCACATGGGTTTCTGCACAGAATCACAAGCCAAAACAATCACGAAATTCCAAAAACCAGCCAAACCGATGCACATTGCTCTCTGCTACACTTATTATTCAGGTAGAGATGGCATTCAAAGTTAAAACGGTAAACTATATAAATGGTCACTAATAGGGAGAGAGGGTCCATGTTGTCATTAGGAGGACCAACAAGAATAGAAATTTCAAATGGTAGCGTTTGGCTCCTTATCGTGTCCTATGCGCAGCAAATACAACAATTAATTAACACATACATACCCAAAATAACACCCATGGTTTGTCCCTTTCGGCTTAGCCCCCACAGTCCCACATGACTCCTCAGCCTCAGGCTCTCTATCAATTAATAAATATCCCTCCATCTCTCCTCTCAATCCTCCCACAACACCAATGGCAATCAGAAAACCATCCAAACTGTCTCAAGCCGCAGTCCTCAAGCAGATCCTAAAGCGATGTTCGAGCCTAGGCAAGAAACACGGGTACGACGAAGACGGTCTCCCACTCGACGTGCCAAAAGGCCACTTTGCCGTCTACGTCGGCGAAAACCGGAGCCGATACATCGTCCCGATCACTTTCCTGACTCACCCTGAGTTCCAATGTTTGCTCCGACGAGCCGAGGAAGAGTTCGGGTTCGACCATGATATGGGACTCACTATCCCTTGTGAAGAAGTTGTTTTTCGCTCGCTTACATCTTTGCTTAGATGAAAATGGCAAACAATATAGAATATCGAGCTTTGAAGGGCGCTCTGCCTTTGCCTTGGAGAAAGATGGCCAAGAGAAGCATAGCTAGTTTCTCTTTTTTTAACCTCATTTCTTCAACGTGCTTTTTGGTGGATTTTTTCCTATTTTTTTCACCCATATCAATTAGGGTTTTTTATGTTTAATTAATTAGTCATTAGATCTAACTCAGACCTAGGAATTGCGACATCTTCTGGGTTTGTTATTTGTAAAAAGTAGTGTTTTCCTGGCAGCTTATGGAAACTGTTAGTGAAAGGTTCAATGTTAATGAAAGCCTTATTCAGCTTCACAAACTGGAAAGCCTTATTATTTTTATGCATACGGGCATTGGAAACAGTAATTTAGGCTAAGAAACGAATTTATTAAATCTTAAAGAAGTGTTTGGTTCGCGGAAAAGATCATTATCATGGGAATGATTTTTTTTTAAATTGTATTCTCATGTTTGGTTCATGGAAAAGATTAATAACTTATTATCAATAGTAGTATTTTTTGGGTTAAAATTGTAGGAATGTCGTTACCTTCAAATTCTTAGGTAATTAATAATTTTCACCACTTACGATATAAATACCCCTGAAATAATGATTTTTTTTCTTCAAATGAGTCATTTTCAATTATTATTCTTCGTACGTTATTCAAAATTATAAATTTAATAATAATATATATATATATATAAAGAGTTTAATTTAATAAAATATTAATAAATTTGAGTAGTTAAAATTATTTTTTATTTTCAATATTTAGCATATTGAATATTTTATAATTTCATGAGGTGAAAATATTATTATCGTAAAAATGTAATTATTTAAAATCATATTTAATTTTGAGTTATTAAAAAATAGATCTTATACATTAAAAAATAATATATTTGTCCAGTCAAGATCACAATATTATTTTTCATATTATATTATATGTTATATAAATAAATATGACACTTATGAAAATTATTTAAAATTATAAGTTTGATATACTAATTATATTAATTATATGTTAAATTTATTTTTTTTCTTTAAACTTAGATAGTGTAATAATTAAAATATTTTTATTAGTTTTCATTCAAATATTTATAATTTAATATTAAAGTTTTATTTGTTAAATATATGACAAGGATAATTTGGTAAAATGTACATCCAAATAATCTTATATTTTTTCAACCAATACTGTAATCTTGCATTCCCATTAAACAAACCAAACAGGGTATTATAACATTCCGAGAGTAATGTTAAATTTCGGTAATCTTATTTCTAAAGATAATTGTATATTTCGTGAATCAAACGTACCCTAAGAGATGAAAATATATTACTAATAAAAAGTATAAAAATAAATTTTATAAAAAAATTAAAAAATTTAAAGGACAAGTTCATCCCTACATTCAAATTATGAAAGAAAGTGAATTTTTTGGTAGGTTAGCTTAGGTATGGAAAAGCTGAAAATGGATATCCTTAAACCAAACCAAACTGAAGGACAGGTAAGAAACACAATAGATGTATCCCCATGGGTTGTCATGTAATTAAATCTTTGAGAAAAAGATTAATTATTAAATTAAATAATATTGTTTTCAAATTCATGAAAGTTAATCTTTTAAAAACTCGTAATCAGAATAATTGTATGATGCAATTTTCTTTGTAGAATAATAGAAAAAGCAAAGACATGAGTAATTGTCACCTTAGTTGACTATTGGCATTGGGGTATGCTCTTTACTCCATCAATGATATGTTCTGATCTAATTCTCGTAATCCTAATCCTATAATAATTATTGTATGTGATACATCGTTCTCACGTTTGCAAAATTCAATTTCTCTTCTCTCTCTAACTCTTTTGAATCTTTAAAAAAATAAATAAATAATTCGGAATGATTATAAGATAATATCTATTCAAAAATTTCACAACTTATTGATAACACACCTTGTAAACATTGCTGCTCGAACCCAAAATTTCTAGAGAGATCAATATTTCTTTTTTATCAATAAGATCACTTGATGAGTTAATATCTTGTAAAATTTTTGTTTAATCTTATTTGTATTATCTTTGGACTATACATTAAATTTTAAACTCTAAACTTACTGAATATAATTACCATCTTTATCTTTTCTTTCAATGCATGGTTATCCTCTTCCACTTGAAATGGTAATTCATCCACCTGAAAGTTGAAAGTACGTTAGAAAAGTACCAGACGCATGAAAAACAATCCTCGACTTGAATTACTGAAAAATGAGCTGGATGTGCAGAGGGAACAAGTCTCACCGGTTGGCTGCATGCTTGTTTTAAGCAGGTTGTCTCCTTTGCATGCCCCACACCCCATGTTCTACGTAAATCCTTGGAATCAGCCCTAATTTAGAGTTAGCCGCACCCGTTACTCCCACGGATAACAGGTGCCTATGACCAAACTGCTCGACAATTTAA